ATATGCAGTGAACTCTGCTTTAGAAAGGTTTTTCAAGTGGCCATGATTTAAAGAGAGGAATGTTACGAAATAGAAATAAAAAATTAATCATGTTGATGTTTTTTAAGGGTAAAACTATATCCCTTGTACTGATGAACACCTTCTTCTAGGGGCCTATAAAGAGTCTAAATCCTATAGCCAAAAATAAAGGAACGTCTTTGAACAAACTGTATATTTGCGTCAGGAGTGAGTTAAAATGAAACAATGACATTTAAGGACTTTAACTTTACAAACCTTTAATCATAAGTTAGATCATTTCTAAAACCTGACATATTATATTTAAAGCAATCATCAATAAATCATTTTTAAAGAAAATAGAATAAAATGAAATAAACATAAATATGAATTATTAGGGACAATTATTTAAGTAAAAAGTCAACTTTGTTCGTTCAAATAACCAGAGATGGCAAAAGTACTCACTTTCCGTACTTGAGTAAAAGTACAGATACTTGTGTTAAAAAATACTCTGGTAAAAGTGGAAGTACTGATTAAACTTCTTTACTCAAGTAAAAGTAATAAAGTACAGGCTTGTAAATTTACTTAAAGTATAAAAGTAAAAGTAGAAACCACTTTTTTCATGCCGTTGCCTACATTTTAAATGGATGTCTGCCAATAGGACTAGATCTCCGTTGTGTTCATTTTCAATCATCTCGTCGTCCATGCTACTATGCTAAGGCCAACGCCACCAAGCTGCAATGATTTGCCGCGAATGAATACCGCCGAATCTGTCGATTCATCTTGTAGTGGTGCGTCAAATGCAACGTAGATTCCCATCCAATTAGATTGAATTTGGTATTGATGACGTGAAAAATAATAATGGTAACTCCATTGAAATGATTCAAAACTAAAGTAACAAGCCAAATTTTTAAAATGTAAGGAGTAGAAAGTACAGATATTTGTGTAAAAATGTAAGGAGTAGAAGTAAAAAGTCGCCATAAAAATAAGTAGTAAAGTAAAGTAAAAATATCAGAAAAATCTACTTGAGTACAGTAACGAAGTATTTGTACTTCGTTACTTCCCATCTCTGCAAATAACAGATTGAAAACAAAATATACCATAATTTATAAAATAGTTTTCCAATTTTTCTGCACGCAATAAGTAACATTTCAACCACTATAATCAATATAAACTTGCAAAAAGGAAGAGGAGAGCCAAACATACAACCAACTTGAAAAAATAACTGATTTTAGAACAAAGCTGCTCCACATGGATTTCTACTGATTATTCTTAGGCGTTTTATGATTGAATAAAATAGGACATCAGATGACACTAAAAGCTTAGTTTGCATTAAGGCATGATGCTTTTTGATGTAAAGCCTGACTATTGCATTATTCCACCCTCACACTTTGTTATTCACACTGTTGTTTTTACTTTCAACAAAGCAAGTAGACAAGCTTCAAGTTAAAGGACAAAGTGTTGCAGTTTGAGAAAAATGTGATCAAATGCAGGTTAGATTGGTAGATGTTGCCAAGCAAACTTAGACGCCATCTCCAAATCAAACACCCTTCTTTAAAAAGAAGCCGATGTACTATTTTGTATGAAAGCGTACAAAATAGTCTATCAGCTTGTAGAAAAACAATGAGAAACAGGCTACAATGAGAAAGTGGCAACTTTTTTGAAAAAAAACCACAAATAAAACCGAGAGAGCCCTCAAAGTCAGCTACCTTGTTGCTGAACTCATAGCTAAATCAAAAAAGTCCCACACCAGGCAGAAACATTAATATTGCCAGCTTGTAAAGCCATTGTAAATTGGATACTTGGCCCTGACGCGGCCAAAAGGTTGCTAAAGTGCCTGTGTTGGATGATGTTTTGCACATAGTCAACTTCATGAAGACGCAACCTTTAAGATGTCACTTATTTGCAGATTTGTGTGAAGAAATGGGAGTGGAACATTAAATCTTATTGCTCCACATGGAGGTCCGGTCCACCCAGTGCAGTGTGTATGAGAAACTTAAAGTATTTCTGACAAATGAGAGGTCCGATCACTAAAAGCTGCTTGCAATTGATGAGTGGTGTGCAAAGCTGGTATACCTGGCTGCTATATTTCATTATCTAAATTAAATTGAACATGTGGATGCAAGGCCAAAATGAGAAGCTGCTTAGAAGCACTGATAAAATGAAAGGGTTCCTTTTGAAAGTGCAGCTCTGGCAACAGCATGTGCAGCGTGGCAACCTTAAGATGTTCCCTCTCGCAGAGAAACTGCAAAATGACAACACTGTTGCAATATGCAAGGTGATTGGCACACATTTGAAAAAACTTAAGGAAAAGATGTCAATTTCTCTTCAGCTTTCACAGATTGTCTTGACTTGGTTAGGGACCCATACAGCTCAGCACCCATTGCTGTGAAGGAGATGACTTTAAAGGAGCAAGAGGAACTCATTGAACTGAAACAACATTGTGGTTTAAAGCTAAATTTTGCCAATCTTACTTTGGACAGTTTTTAGTTATCTGTTGCCAAGGAAATCCCAATTCTGGCCAACAAAGCTACTTTGACATGGTCTCCTTTCCCAGATTTACCTAAAATTTGTTGAGTATCTAGTTATGCTCCATAAATTGTTTGGGGAAACAAAGCTTCTTCTACAAACACTGCAGCCATAAACTGTTGAACTCTCCACAGTAGCAGATTTAGTGGAAGGTTTGGTTCAGACTTTGACAGATGTCAGGCAACAGTCCTTTTTGACAACCTGTGGGATGAAGTATTAAATATTTGTGAGCAGTGTTATGCTGCCACCCAGTCTGTGCCACAATAACAAGTTCATGACTCAGTGAGTACTACATGTACGGTCAAATCACTCTTTGACTACTGGCTTGTCGCACTGATGAAGTGCCTCGAAAGGTTGGCTAAAGAACACATCATCTCCAGTCTCCCCCAACATCCGACCTTCTTCCAGTGCGCCTAACCATGAAACCGCTCCACTGAGGACGCCATCTCTGCTGCTCTCCACCTGAGCCTGGCTCACAGACAGACCTCAATCAGTCTGACAGAACACCTCTGATATCATCACCCTAAGCACAGGCTCCCCTCAGGGCTGCGTCCTGAGCCCCTGCTGTTCACCCTGATGACACACGACTGTGCCCCCAGGTTTACAACCAATCACATCGTGAAGTTTGCAGATGACACCAGGGTGGTGGGCCGCATCAGAGACGACAACAACCTTGACTATAGAAAGGAGGTGGAGCAGCTGGTGGGCTGGTTCAAAGATAACAGCCTGATCCTGAATGTGTAGAAAAGGAAGAACATTGTCGACTTCAGGAAGAATCAGCCTAACCACACTCCACTGCTCATCAACACCTCAGCAGCACCAAATTCCTGGGGGTGCACATCACAGACACCCTCACCTGGACTGCAAATACCACCTGACTGGTCAAAAGGGCACAAAAGCTGATTTACTTCCTGCGGAGGATGAGGAGAGCCCACCTGCCCCCACTCATCCTCACCACCTTCTACAGAAGCACCATAGAGAGCGTTCTGACCAGCTGTCTCACTGTGTGGTGTGGAGGCTGCAGCGCCTCAGACTGGAAGAAGGTGAGAAGAGTAGTTAGAACTTCAGAGAAGATCATCAGGGCTCCTCTTCCCTCCATGAAAGACATTTCATCCTAGTGCTGCATGTCCCGAGCCCGTAACATCATAAATGACCCCCCACACCCCCACCATGGACTGATCTCCCTGCTGCCCTCTGGGAAGAGACTTCCAACCATCCGATGCAGGTCCAGCAGATTCCGGAACAGCTTCTTCCCTACTGCATCAGACAGCTGAACTGTTGAGAAAACTCTAAATCATGTATCAGACTCTGCATAAAACTGACAACACCAAACCAAAACACTGAGCAATTGCACCATATATATTTGATGTTCTGAACTTCCATATCACAGGTTTGTTTTGCACTGTTTTTTTTCTCCTGCACAGTTTACATTTGATCACTGCTGCACTTTAACAAATTGAAATGTCATGAGAGCTGCGCAAAATTACATTTTATTGTGCATATAAAATGACAATAAAAGATGTCTAATGTCTAATCTAATGTCTAATGTACACTATAAAATAACAGCATAGACCAGATACTTGTTAACACTGAAAAAAGCAAGAAACTTTTAGTGTATTAGCTGCAAAATGGAATGATACACATTATTGTGTGTGAAACAATTATGTTTGAATTATATATATATACATATTTATATATATATATATATATATATATATATATATATATATATATATATATATATATAGGAGTGATTTTGGTATGCTTGTGATTTATGAAATGGTATTAGAGTTAATCAAACTAGTAACAAACTGTTTCTTTGCCATGTTCTAAATTTTGAACAATGCTGTTTGGAGTTTTCTTTCCTTAAAGTGTAAACAATAAATGGTCATTTATTAAAATGCTTGGAAAAAATACTATAGCTGGAAGTACAGATATGTAAATCTAACTGAAACGTTACCTATATAAAAGATCTAACTTTACTTATTAGGATTGTTATCCTTTCTATTTAATTCAATTTTAATTCTTGCAACAGTAATGACACAAAATAAATAATTTTGGTTGAAATAATCATGTTTGAGTTCATACTTATCATAGATTAATTATTTGGTATGCTCCATGGTCATTGAGAGGACATCCTCTTTGTTTCATCCTGTTTGAAGTTTTCTTTTTCTAAAGTGTTAACATTAAATGTTCATTCCTTAAACTATTGGGATTAAAAAAATACTCTTGCTGGATTCAAAGATACATCAATTATAAATCTAACTGAAATATAACCCATATAAAAGATCTAAATTGTTTTTCTTTTAATCAGGATTGTGAACATTTTTCACTTTATTTCAGTTGCAATCATGCAACCACACCTAAAATCAATCGTTTTACAGTTTCAGCCAATTTCAGCAGACAATCTAATACAGAACATCTCAATGTCGTGTCAAAATGTCAGAGTAGTAACAACATTGTCCTTAACACGTCCTTCAGCCTCTGAAGGTGAGGATTCTGGACGTTTCCTTTTGCTTGCTTTGGCAGCGCTTCGCAGTCTGACCTGATTCTTCGTCCTTGTTGTAGATGTTTGCATCCCTTAAATAAAGAAATTGTAAAGAAATCTGTTAAATCCTGATCAGAGAATGACACGTTTTAACCAAATCATTAAAATGGATTAAAAAAAAAGTTATTTGAAGAAACATGTTGAACCTCTAACATGTGGTTTGTTGTTTAATTACGAATGATTTCTTACCATTTGTGTCTTGTAATAATTTAACTGGTGTTTTGTTCCATTCAGGGTCCCTGAATAAAAGAAAAAAATTTTGTTTTGCTTTATGAGCTTTAAAGAGTTACCGTACATAAATCAATCGGGAAATGTTTTAATGCTCCTGAATGTCTAAGAGTTTAATTGTTTTATATCATAATACAAAAGTGGTGTAGAAAATGAGGTTTATTACCTGTTTTTCTTTCTCTGTTTGACAAAATATAGGAAAATATTAAAGATGCAGGCCGACACAGCTATTAGAGGTATGATGATGATGATGATTAGAGTTTTACCTTAAAGAAAAACAAAAAGGAACAACATGAGAACAGATTCATAGTTACAGCTGAAGGTACTTCTGGTTTTCTCTCCTAACAGATTTGCAGACACATCTTGGCTCCTTCTTCTTTTTTTGCAAAGTAGGTAAAAGTCAGAGGGATTAGAGTCTGGACTTTGACTAGGCCATTCTAACACATGGATGTCAATCTAAGGTAAGAATCATTACTGGGGTTTTAAAAAATACCAGTATCTTTACTTAGTGTATTAAGATACAACACTAATTTGACATGCTGTCGATACTAAACAAAATAGTTGTTTTGAAAAAAATCTATTGTTCATTTTATATTTCTGATTTATTCAAACAGTAAAAGAAAAATAATTCAGACAACCTTAAATATTGTCAGATTGGGTTATTCATTTTGATTTACTTTGCACAATTGTTTAACTATAATTTGTGATTGTAACTGGTGCTCTTTAATAGAAATGATCCTAATTGAACTGAATGGGTCTTGCAGCTCTGGCTGCAACTTTAGAGTTGTTGACCTGTTGGAACATCAGCCTCTCAATCTAACGTCTTATTAAGCCTCTAACATTTTTTTTCTAGGCCCATTCAGCTTACAATAAACAGCTTTCTTGTCCCATCTGAAATGAAATCATTCCTACAGCATGATGCTGCTACCTCCGTGCTTTAAGGGATATTTTGTGAATGTGATGTCCTGTTAAAAGCTTCCTCAGCTAAGCTGGGAAGGTTTAAAGAGCCACATGAACATGAACATGAATACTCACTATAAGACGATGCACTTTGACCATCATCAGATGTTCCTTTAACTCCAGGAACGGTGATCAGCTTCTCTCTGGGAGCAGCAGAGAGCACTGACACTGAACATCCAACCTGTGTGCTGCAGGAAGCTGACAGCAGAGCTGTGGTGGTGACGGTGACTGTACCGTTGCTGTGGGTCACACTGCTGCTGTTGTAGTGGGAGAAGCTGAGGTTCTGCTGTAGAACAGTCAGTGTTACAGTGGGAGCAGGTCGACCTGTGGCTGAACAGGACACAACTGACTCTGCAGAAACATTCGATCTGCTGACATTAAGGATGGGTTCATGCAGCTCTGAGAGGAGAATAAACATCATGATCAACATCTAGTTATAGAAGTTAACCCTGGAATACAGTCTGGTTCTTACCATAAACATTCAGGCAGGTTCTCCCTATCAGAGCTCCATCAGGGTAGATGTTGAACAAACAGAGATAACATCCTTCATCCTGCTCTGTAACCTTCCTGATAACTATGGCGGAATTCTTCAGTCCTGCTTCTGTAAACTGAACTTTATTTTTAAATTCAGGATTCACTGTTTGACCAAAATACTCGCTGTAGGAGCAGATATTCCTCTCTTTCCTTCCAAAGACCTTCTGCCAGGTGACCTGCTGGACATCTTTAGTTTCCAGGAGCTGACAGCTGAGAGGAGCATCTTCACCCTCTGCTGCTAAGACGTTCAGCTGGGTTTGGACCACAGCTGCTGCACCTGTATAGAAGTTAAATTACTTGGTTTTTAAAAAATCAAGCAGAGAAACTGCAGGAATATTACCGCCCAGCTAGACTGTAAGACCCGCCTTTGCTTGTAAGCTAACAATTGGTCCTCGGCTACAAAGTCCCACAAGCTTAAATAATGGAAAATTATCTCTTCAGCTCAGGTTTTTGAAACATTAGAAATGAAAGAAGGTTTATTGTGGAATTGATTTAATATGTTGAATCATTATCTTGCAGGAAAACTTAACAATCTATTTTAGGTTATTCAGTTAAGGGCTTCACATTTGTACTTACATTATCAGGAAATGAAAGTACTCTAATAAGTCCAGAATCAGAATCAGGCATACTTTAATAATCTTAGAGGGAAATTACTTTTAATTCTCTTACTAATTCACTCACCATTTTTGTGTCTG